AACAAGAGTACATGTAACGCATATAATCAATAAAATGGGCAACGTTGTGTGTTTATTAAAAAAAAAAAAAAAAAAATTATGAAATATCCTAAAAATTATAAAAGAATTCAAAAAAATATAAAAATTTAAAAACAAAACTATTATAAAGAAGAAATAAGATAATATCAACAAAAAAAAATTCAATACTCAAAAGAATGATTTTATAAATAGAATGCAATTAAGAGAATATATAGAAAATATTCAATGAATTAATTATAAATAGTAATAAATAATTAGATTTTAATTCAATAAAATCGATTATTACAAAAAAAAAAATAATAATAAAATAAAATTTTTATTAACAAATATAAAAAACTTTATAAAAAACTGATAATAGTCATTATTCTACTGTAATAAAGTGAGAAAATCATTGTATGATACAGAAAAATAAAAAAGAAAGTCTCAAAAAACAAGATCTATAGTAATATAACAGAAAGAAGGCAATTTTATACTTGAAAAAAGATGCTAAAGAATATATATTCTAGAGATAACATATACATGAAAGAAGTTGTAAAAAGATGGATAATATAATAAAAGAAAAGATCAGAGTTTTAAATAAGTTAGACAGAATTTTGGAAATTTTATATTAATAATTTGTAAGTAAAGAACTTCATGGCTAAAGAATAATTTAAATTATGAAGGAGCAAAATATTATCCCTTAAGTTGTATCTAGAGCAGATAAACTTTAATGATGCATAAGCTGATATATGAAAGTCATTTAAATTGTAATTATTTCTTTTAATATACAATAAAGACAAATCAGACTGAGGCAAGCTAAAAAATATAATAATAATTAGATTTTAATTAACTAGATGGAATCTTTAAAAATTATAGTAATGAACCTTATGTTTAAAGAATAATTCAAATCATTAAGAGAGCAAAATAATATCCTTAAGTTGCATCTAGAGAAGGTTTAACTTCAATGACAGGATAGTTAATCTATAAAAGTTTACAAAAATAATTATTTCATATAATATACAATAAAAGACAAGCCATGTTAGGTTGACAGTGGGTTAAAAAATAAATAAATAAATAAATAAAAATAAAAAATAAAAAAATTTTTTAAAAATATATTATGAAATTTTTATCAATTTATCACTATTACAATCATGTTATCTCCATCATCATATACGGTCTACAGTATATACAGTATATATTCTGATTTAATCTTCTTAAATTTTAGTGACTAAATACAAAGAACCACATATATTGTGCCGAAGGAACAAGTAATAACTAAAAATACGTGTGGTAGGAATACCAAATAAAGAATCCCTGGTGTTTTCGAGGATACGCGCACTCAGAAAGTTTTAACCGAAGCAGCACATATACCAAAAAACAAGCTAGAGTGCTGCCAGCGCCTGCCGCATTTTGGCGCGCATAGCTTGTCAGAATAGAAAAAAAAATGGCTCAAAATATAAAAGATCTTAGGGTCACTAAGGAAGTATAGTCCGGGGTAGTTCGTGTTCTGGGATATTCCACGAGGCAAACAGTTCTGGCTTGCGATATGAACATAACCCTGCCAGAATACATGATCTTTTTATAGTATATGGGGGCCTAAGCAGGAACATTTTCCAAATTCTTTAGTGTATAGTCCGGTATGTTAAAAAACAACAATGCCTTTTAAAACAACTCGTCTATCTCTACAATTATTGAAAATATGACATCGGCTGCTTGCAATTATCTAGCGACGATCGAAAAAAATATCGCCAAATTTGATGGAATACGAAAATTTTAACCCTAAAGCAAGTTAGAATGAAGTGAAGTCACCCAATTACTTTAACGATTCAGTATTTGTATTTCTAAAATAACAATTGACGTCGAATAACAGATACGTATACGTAATGTGAAGAGTGAAAAATAAAACCAATCGCGTTATCAAATTCCCTTCACAATTTAGCGAGAATGCCACCCTGGCAACTATGGAGGATCTTGGTGGAGTTTCTTTCTCATTGAAACGTACTCATGTTGTTGTTAAATTTCAATAGCAACAAGTGAGCATGAATGTTATTATCATAGGCTCGCTTTCGCTTATTATAATTGTTGACTGATACTGAAGCAACAAGAACACGAGGAGGGAACATGGAGCCAGATGTATCTTTTCGACCTTTTTGAAAACCTCGAGTGACATGGAAAGGATACGATGGAATTTTCCATTAGCTTTTGACCCGTTCAGTTGTTGACGCGCGCTAAATTTCTAATAACGGTGGCACGTTACTTTTTAGAATACGTACAATAAAGGGTGCTTACCCAATCAATTCTCAATGATAAAATTAAAGTACTGGTCCTTTCAAACAGAGTTCACGGTGCAATTTTTATTAAGTTAATTACACGCCAGGCATCACAGTTCCAACTTAGATGATGCTAATGATAAAAAGGTTTGATTTCTGATACGTAGTTCCTTTATAAAACACATTAAATAATTATTTTTGATAGGCATGTCAATATTATGTAAATAACCCAAGAAACGCTGATGAGCTCATCATGTAATACTGTAGTATGTTGTTCCGTTCCTGATTTTTTAGTACAAATTATGAACTCAATGTTTTTATATTAAATATAAGTTTTGGGCACAAAGCATGATAACATTATTCGAAGCTGTAATACAAAATTTACGTAATCCAAGCTGGTTAAACCCAAGGTTTCGCACAACCGAAACAAAATTTTATATTCGTGCAACTAAAGTTCTCCCTAACACATTTTACCATATTAGGCAGTATGCAAAAGAAAAAAAAGATAAAATAAATATTTTCGTATACAGTAGTAAGTATATAGAATATGATTCTTCAAATACATCGCTAAAAAATGGAGGATATCATTGAAGATATTAATGTTGATTCGAACTCTGAGAAAAAATCTGTCAAATCGGAAATTGAAGAATTGCAAAACCCACTGAATACATGGCGATTGCTAAATAAAACTCAGTGGATTATAATAATAACGGCTTATCTTGGGTGGACCCTAGATGCCTTTGATTATTTCACTATTACTTTTGCGTAGGTTAATTTTATCATTTCGATTATTCAATAAATTTTCAACTCACCCATTATATATGTAATAATAAGCGTGCCTTACATATCAAAAGACTTCAATGTGGAGCCTTCGGATATCACAGCGGGGTATTATAAATTCTCAATGTGCTCAAATGTCGCTTCAAAATATTAACGCGCGTTATTCTCTTCTTTTGAAAAGTATTACGATAACACTATTGTTTCGTTCGGTCGGTGCGTTAATTTTTGGATTGTTAGGCGACCGGTATGGTAGAAGATACCCATTAATGGTCGATATTGTATTATTCAGTGTTATGGAGCTTGTCACGGGATTTTCCTCAAATTTACGTGACCTCATAATTATAAGAGCAATCTTCGGGATTGTAATGGGTGGAGAATGGGGCTTAGGAGCTGCATTGGCTTTAGAATCCATACCACCCGAGGCTCGCGGGTAACTGGGTTTTCAGCAAATCTGTTCAAAGTTCTCTTCCGACAACTCTGATTATTCTTTTGTAGCCTTGTTTCAGGAATTTTGCAACAAGGATGGTCGTTTGGCTATATAATCGCTGCATTAATTAATTACGCTGTAATTCCAACTCTTGGATGGCGTGCTATGTTCTGGATTGGATCATTTCCTGCACTTCTTGTTATTCCATTGCGCTTTTTTGTTCCCGAACCAGACTTATCAAGAGTGAATATTCAATCTTCCTGGAGTGCTTTGATCGGCAATATATTATCGGTTTGTCATTTACTATATATTTATTTTGTGTAGTTTTTTGAAACTAAAGACGAAAAAAAATCTACCCTTCTACTTAGGCTCTCAGAAGTGATTGGATCAAAACCCTTACTACCATTATGCTATCTGTTTTTCTCGGTGCCGTGGCACATGGTATTATCTTGATTCGAGATAACCCTCCTTTGTATTAATAAACACGAATTCACGCATATTATTATTTATCTATAAACAGGTACCCAAGATCTTTATCCTACATTTTTGAAAACCCAACTTTCATTTTCGCCAGGTTTTTTTTTTTCTATCTCGGATTATTTGATTCCCTTTGAAAATCTGAATAAAAAAACAATTGACAAATTCATTCATAGGAGATGTCACGTTGATAGCGGTTATTGCCAATATAGGAGCCATTTTTGGAGGCGTGGTCTGTGGCTACTTATCTCAATTTTATGGTCGCAGGAAGATAATGATAATCGCGATGATACTAGCAGGCGTATTTTTGCCTTTATACGTACTTCCTCGTTCCGTTGCCCTTTTAAGTGTTGGTTCCTTTTTTCTGTATTTTTTTGTTCAGGTAAATATACATTTATTGTATATGCTTAATATAACAGATAAGGGAAGGGTTTTAACTAAACCATGCACATTCTGTAATGTTAATTTCGTATTAGGGAGCTTATGGAGTTATGCCTGCTCATTTGTATGAATTATCTCCCCCGCATTTTCATGGTACATTTCCCGGGTTCATATACCATTTAGGTATCCTAATTTCTTCCCCATCGACACTATTAGAAGCAAAATCGGGAGAAAAATTCCCCACAAATGGAATCCCAAACTATGGGTTGTCTATGGCCGTTTTTTCTGCGTGTGCTATTTTTGGCTCGATAATAAGCGCTTTGGTGGGTAATGAGAACATGGATGCTATATTTGGTTAATCTTTTGAAGGAGAAGAAAACTCTAGTGTTATTTAATCATGCTTATTTAATTGAACTATATTATGTTCATATAATATTCATTTCATAATACACTCGTTTTATTGCCATCTTGTACGCTGCTGTACCTTAGAATTCAGAGAAATTAAATTTTATCACAATTAAATAACTTATCATTTCCATTACTCAAAATTTCGTATTACGTATCGTAATATTAACGTTTTCTTGATACTTTTTTATTTCAACATGTTATTTGTAAACTTTGAGAAGGAAGTTTTCTACGCAACATCTTTCCCATACCTATTATTTA